GCAGCAGCAGCAGCAGCAGCAGTAAAAGCAATCAGTTTGAATCATATTTTAATCGACTAGAAGATGGGAATCATGAAAACCCTAGCATACGGAGGATGAGTTGACGACTGCCTTGGACTGATATGCTTCTCCAAAACTCCAACGCAATGCGCTGTTTGCATTTAAATTTGAATTATTGATTATTCCATTCAGAGTATTATATTTCCACACAGCACAATTATCATTTCAAATATTGCCTATGCGCGCACATGGATATAAATATTAATGCAATGTCAAATTTCATCCCATTGTCTTTTTAATCGTGCCTCTAAACGAAGACAATTCAAAAAGGATAGTCGGATCACCTCGTGGCGCAATGGTGCTCGTTAATTGCGAGCGAATTCTCGTAATACCGTCGGTCTCAATAACGGATGCAATCAACTGGCATTGATCTCATTTTGATCTTCATCAACGTTAATCGTAAGCATATCGGTGAGAAATGCAGCCCAGCCAAGACCATTTCTCGTGACTGCCTGAGATTAACTCGTCGCCATCATTTATACCTCAATCGTTTCTCCTCAAATCTTTTCTCCATTAGAAATCCTCTGAAAATCTTTCCTCGTCTCGTCCTCAACGAGAAATACGGCAAAAATTAGCGGCAGCCAGTATATGCAGAAATACTTTCACTTTTTTTTGAATTTTTCAATGGATATTAGAAGAACAAAGTTATGTCCAGAAAGACGGATGTGATGTGATAAGACGATAGAAGAAGGAGAATATGGCATGAGAAGTTAGACAGGTGAATGATTTATTTCTAGGTGAACAGTACAACGGATAACTTTACATTATGTCCATTTGAAGCGTTTAAAAAACATTGTAATTAATTGCAAAACAATGCAATATTTAGCGAGAGATAACGTAGTATTATTAGACATTATCAGACATAGTGGACCGAATAGTATCAAACGTACAAACGTGGGTTTTCCGAAGCTAACTTATACATCAATAATGAAATCGGAAAACTCGCACTGGGTATGTTTTGGGCTCAATTTAAAAAAAATACTATTA